AATCTGACCTATGCAACGGCTTGTGATCCAGGCGATGTTCAGTGATTACCTCTCTCCCTCCAAACGAGGAATATATGGTCTGCACAAGCTCCATCATCAGAATGCCTATAATTGGCCCCTACCCCCCCCCCTCTGTGCAGTCCTGGGTGAACGGAAGCTGAGCAATCCGTAATGGTCGGCCGGCCCTGTTACCCAACCAGATGGCATCTATCTGCTCATATAGGTAGCGCTCACATGGGCTGAACGGGCTTTGGTAAGGGACTGGTGCCGCTAAAGAAAGTGACTCCTGCAGCGTTCTATTCGTGCCCAAAATCTGAACAAATCGTGCTCTTATAATCGAGAGAAGACCTTTTATAAAGGTGTTCTCTACTAAACGGATTGTTTGCTTCTTACAGAGGAAGTTTCTTGTGTTCACTAACATCTATAGCTAACTGGCAATTAACTCACCTCTGACTGAACGATATTGTATGGATAGGCAATCGAGACGTCATAGACGTAGGTGACGAAATTCGCTGAAAAAATTAAGGTTTCCAAGTTGTAAATGAATAGAATCTTATAGGAAACCACATTAGAAATTAGAATAGCGTTTGAGGTAGCGTTCAACGATTGGCAGTCGTGAGATAGTGATTGTTTAGATATGGATTTGTAAGTGCTAAATTGTTGTGAGGAAGGCAGAGGGAGCCGTCAATGAGTTCCTTAATCAAAGCACGATTAATTTTCAGCATTGGGAGAGCATGAGGTGATTGTAGACGCAGAGACGCTCAGCAACGTGGGTGAGAGGATGGCAGCCGTGCGCGAACGAGAGCAGTGGTAATAAAGGATGCATCAAGGAGGGAGAGAAAACGAAGAGCGCACAGCTTGAATTGAGTCACAACTTCTTCTAGACAGCCTCACGACTGTTTTTGGAATAGCGAAATGGAACACCACCCGCGGCTTCGCACGATCTTGTTCATGGCAAACGCCGGGGTGTGTCAGGGGAAATGGGTTTGGCGCGGCTCCACCCCGTTCTCTACCAACTGTGCGAGCTATCGCGATCCGAACTGGTGGAAGACTGACGACGACGAGCCAAACCCAGCCTCCCCGATACGCCTCAGCGTCCGCAACGAACAACACTCCACCTGCTCATCGTACACGCGGAAGGTATTCTATTAGTTATCGTGGAACGTGCCTTTGAAATGAATTTTCACTTTTCTTTTTCCTAGCCATACCTTCTCTCATTTTCGTGAGTAGATGAAAGAAACCGGCTACTCGTGGATAAAGCAGATTTTTGAGCTCCTTCAGACCGTTCTTCTTGGCATATTCTGAGCTTTTGGTGGTGGTCCACGGAGACTTGTCTGTACCTTCAGGGAACAGAAGGACCTGAAATTACGGCACAAATCTGAACATTTGAGGTGTTATTGAGTGGTGTAGGCAGATGTCCGCCCTCTGAGGAGCCAGGAGTTTGATCTCTGTGAAGGCAACTGACACCTTATCGGATCGTTCCAGTCAACAAACCTGATAACTATTTTCCATATTCTTATAGTATGCAACAGCTTCGTCGAATGTTGCCGCGTCTTTCTCTTTGTTCCTGTGCAAAAATAAGAACTGCGCTGCTGACATGCCAAATCCTGAATGAGGCTTGATTTGTGCTATGACGTGTGTTAGGGAAACGACGAGGAGCCAGGAGGGGACATCTAGTAGGGGGTGACGACGCATGCGCAGCGACCATGCCACGTTACATGCAGACATGATACTGGATGGTCGCACCCCCCAGCTACCCTTGCCCCAGTTTATACGTAACGGCTATGATTGGTTTAGTTTCCGTCCAAGGGCACGCGCGAGATCGAAGCTTGAACTAATCTATTCGACCCCTTCCCTCCTGCTACCTTAAGCAATTTATCGCGTGGGGATTTCACTGCATGATTTACCATGGAGAATGGTGTGAAATAAATAAATAAAAAGTCAAAAAGGTTTCACGGAAGGGAGGGTAGAGCACGAAGAAAAAGTGGAGCAGAAGAGCTGCAACTAGTGAGGGGAAAAAGTGGAGGGGCAAATAAAAAACGATATTGCGATATGGGCAACATCCTTAACCTTTAGCTGGCTCCCTAAAACATGTTCTAGGGTCGTCCACTACAGCAAAAATAGGCAATTAGGGGTTCATCCCCACCCACTGCTCTTGGAATGTGGCTGTGAAATCTACAACCACAGATGAATAGTCTTGTTCGCCACGGATACAGAGGCTTGTCAGAGGGGCTGGGTTTGGCCCGGCGCAAGCCTGTTCTCCATTTGAAGAGGGCACGCGAAAACAATCGGAGGACAACGTTCTGGCGCCACGCCAAACCCAGCTCCCACACACGCACCAGTATCTGCAGCGAACAAGACTGTAAAGAGAAAGGAGTCACCGACCAGCTCCGGGAAGGCTTTGCAGTTGGACTTTGAGTGAAATCTTGTTGGACGTGATCAGCCATGGATTTATTTGATACAATGCTGACCACATATACATCCAGTCGAGCCTGAAATGAAGTCATCTCTCAGAATTTAGTGAAAATGCGAACCTGAAATCCCTATGCGGTCTTCTACCCTCAGCAAAGCAGAAGCCTGGGAATGAGGAGGTCGTATCGTTTAGTGCGGACGTCCCATAACCCGCCTCTCGATTCGCGATTCGAAACCAAAAACGAACGCCATTTAGGGGTTGATCGGGAGGATTTCCTCATCAATATGCGATCAAAAAACTTGAAGGGCCTCTGGGACACTCTAAGCCATGCATCTGACTATGATGAGAACCAAATGATATAAAAACCTAAATGGCCCAAAGAAAAACAACCTTGTTCTGTGATTCATAATGATAAGTGCCGGTTCACCGTACTCAATCTCATCACCAGATACTCGTACACGCATGCCAAAAATCAGCTCCAAAAAACCCTGAAAAATTTTTGTGGAACTGTCAAGAAATGTTACTAGCTACTAAGCGCTGACTGAGCTGTAATTTAAAGAGGATTGAACCGCGATTACTCGCCATACTCAGCATGGGTGGCATTTAGGTGTTTCATATAGACGACAAGGGGTTGAGTAAACTCGACTGTGAACAAAAAAAAAAAGCACAAAAAACATGCCACCTGCCCTAGATAGAACCCCATTTCGATCCCAGTTTGTACGTGCCCAATCAACTCTATCTCCAAAACTACGCCCTCATATGCACGCTGATTCACGATAAGATTTCATCGTGCAAGTACCTAATTATCATGCTTTTTTCGTCCTGCAATCTCATTTTTCACTGGAAGTCGGTCATTAGGGGCGGAGTCTGGAGGCGGAGTCACTGGAAAAAAGGAGGAGCCACTGAACCTATATTGCGCTACAGCGCCCCTCCCATAGAATTTTTTGCCGCGAAACCGGTACAAGGTTGTTCGTCGCGGACCACTCTAACCTCCTGACGCCATATTTTCAACTTCGATACCTGATCGCGGACCGTGCAAGAGAAAAAGTAGTCTTTTATCCTTCAAGTGCAATAGGTCCGAGAGCAATAAGGTCAACGGCGAACTGAACACTCACATGCGAACACTCTGGTCTGCGAGGTGAATGGATCTGCAGCTGCAGTAGCGTGCCATTTTTTCCGCTCAAATGTGCACGGGATGATGTTGGGAGGGCAGTGATACACAAGCCGCAGTTCTCCGACGCTTGCCCGCTCCTGCGCGACTGCCAAGTTAATGCCTAACCGGGCCAAACTGTGCTTGTTCTGCACCACTTTCTAGTTTGTTCTTTCCTGCGTTCGCAGAGTGATTTTGGTATGGACGCAAACCTGGGGAATAGCACAGCTGGAGTCGGAAAAGGGCAATGGCATCGGGTATCATCACCCTCCGGTCCCGCTACTATGCACTTTCGAGGCGTTGAAACTGACAGGCTACTGCAGCTGCAGACCCATTCAGCTCGTATATGGGAAGAGCCGTCTTCGGAGGTGCGTGTACAGTTTGTCTTTAGGAACATACTGGGCTTTTGAATGGGAGTACAGTGCGTGGGGCAACACAAAAATCAACGCCGACGCTCTACCCTTTGTGAGCTTCATTCTTGCGAATTCCAAAAAAAAATAGTGCATCACTCAATATTTTGTGGAATGTGGATAAGACGTACTCCGACTTACTATTGGCACCATCATCCAGAAGCTGACTGACCGATCCATCATGTCGCGCCATGTCTTGTGTTTCCCCAGTACAATAAGAAACAAAAATCTGCAATTTTACGTCACTGAGCTCATTTTCGAAGACACCTGAATAAAAAAAACGTAGAAATCCACGCCGTACGCCGAGGATTCCTTAACAGGAGCTAGAGAGAGAGGGCCTTATTCGGTCGTTGGAAAACTCGCCCGTTTCCCGTTGAAAGCCCGTTCAGCCCTGAGGCCGTTGATGTCTTTTAGAGTCTCATTCGCTAAGGGTGTTGGGAAGTTTCAAGGGGAAGGGTTTGGCGCGGCGTCAAGCAGTTTTTCACCAATTGCTGCTGCTTGCCCTAATCAACAACTAGTGGGGCTGACGCCGCGCCAAACCCAACCTCCGGATACGACCCAGTGAGCAAGACTATTCGCAGTTAGACCTCTGCTCCCTGGATATCGAGAGCAAGGCTCTGTTGGGGAAAGTTTTCTGATCGCCATGGTGCGCCCTGATAGGGAGACTCACAGTGCAATGATGTAGGATCCGAAGATTGAAGTTAAAAAGATGGTGAGTCCGAAAGTCCAACCAACCAACGGCCGGAATTGCGGTCAGAATAGATTTTTAACATCGTAGCCTTTTTTGCAAGATCATGGTCCTGAACTTTTCGCACGATGTACAGTCAATAACGCCTTCATCGTTCATTCGAAGACATGGGCAACTATTATTACCCTTCACTTCCCCAGCATTCCCGAAATCAGGCCGTTGCTGACGACTATTATTTCCGTGGGCAGAAATTTGCTGAAAAAGCTCCCGGTCGCAGGGGTAGTTTGACCCTAAACACGAATATCATCATCAGGTCACCCAAACCTTCTGGCGCGCAGCCACGAGCAGCGGCGCCAAAAATACCCCAAATCATTAGCGCTTGTGCGCGTTCGGGCGCCCAGGAAGTTTCGTGCTCAATGTGATGATATGAGGTCAAACTACCCCAGGAGACAACATTTGAGCAAAATCTGCCCACGGAGAAAAAAGTCGGTCAGGAGCTGGCCTGATTTCGGATGACTGGGGCAGTAAGAAGTAGGTACATTAGGCCGAACATGTGAAGCAAGGACAAGAGTTTCGACAGCAAATTGTTAGAAGAACTCAGCAGAGACAGTTTCCGCCAAGCGTGAAGAAATCTGAGCTCAGAAACTGGTAGCGCAGCCTAGCGCGGCATAATAAAGAGAACAAGACAGCCCCACCATAAGATAGTGAGAGAGATGGCCTAGAAAGTTTGCAAAGCTACTGCGAACATGCTGCTAATCTTCAGAACGATCGTTAAGTAGCATTAGAACAAACTGGTTTCGCTGCTATTTCTGCTGCTGGAGAAATACACTCACTCAGTGGAAAGAAAACAAACAAAAATTAAAACAGGACCTTGACTTTTGTAGAATGCTAAAAATGACATGTCGTTGTGGTGAAAAACTGGCGTTTTCAGAGAGAAAAATCGTCCTTACAGATGCAGACTAAAGGGGTCGAGGGTACCTCAGGGCGCAGCAAACAAGAAAACCTCTTGCAGTAAGCCCTTGGACTTCCCCGAGCGTCTGCTTTTGTAGACAAAGTGTACACTCACCTCTGAGAACGGTCCTTGGCATGTGCAAGGCGAATATGTACGCAGCTGCAGCAGTGTGCCACTTCCTCCAGTCAAAAGCGCACGGGAACATGGCTGTGGGGTAGTGGTCCCTAAACGCCGTCTCCATACTACGCCCACGCTGCAGCACGGCTAGTCGTACGCGTAACCATAGCCAAACGAGCCACATGACTATGTCGTCTCTCTTCTGGTTGCTCGCTGAATGCACCCTTCGCTCTGCAATGTTGATATCGACGCGAGTACTGATGGTAGCGCGAGAGTATAGAGATGGCTCCCGAATATCACCACCTACCAGCTCCCTTCCTGTACAAGTTCCACTGCAGCTGCAGACTTATTGACCTTGCATATGGAAAGGGCTCTTTTCGGAGGTGAGTGTACACTTTGTCTCTAGAACGGGAACGCATGGCGCCTACTCCACAAGAGTTTCTTAAATCATACGACTTGTGGGGCGAATTTTTTCTCTGCATTGTTGGGTATGGGATTTGCCTACATACGCCCGGAGACAAATTTCCAATCAGACCTATCCCGGGGTCATTTGATTAGAATTCATTCTCAGTTCGGAATAGTGGAGCAGGAAAGCAGCTCGCATACATGCCTTTTGGGGAATGCACCGGCCATCTATAACAAAATGGAAACCTATGAAAGTGCCACAGAAAGCTCGAGAGCTATCATAGAAGGGGGGGGGGGGGGGAAGGGAAGGTTGTAGAGACCCATTATTCCTCGAGCCTTTTGGTTTGTCATCCCACCTGAATCCTACAAATGTCAACCGAACCGGTCTACTCTACGAAGTGTGTGTGTGTGTGTGTGTGTGTGTGTGTGTGTGTTGAAAAACCCGCAAAAACGTCAAAAGGGGTCAAGGAGACGACGATTTTGCTTTCGATGCACCACAACACGACCACTTTCCAAAATCAAGATCGCCACGGAAAAGAATGAAAGTTTGGCATTTCGCCAGAAAAAAAACGCTGATGCACTCGCACAACGGTTTCGTCGCTCATAAACAAAACTAATGAATTTGAACTCTGGAGGACAAGGAAAAACGAGTACGGTGAGCACAAGAGTGTGTTGGAGTAGGTGATAATAAGGTTCTTTAGCCATCTAAAACTGCGCCGAGGCTATGAAAAGAATTTCTTGATGCACAAAATAAGGACATCCTGACACAGTTTCCCATTGCAGGATGCCTTTTTCACAAGGATGTAGCGCAAAATGATGGAACGAACAAGGGTAGCGCCTGTCACCTATAATTTTTCCTTGAAATCAAAAAATGCTTTGATGTCATGGAACCCTCAGTGGGGGATCGTAATTCAGTGGTCTCTGAGGAGAGGAAATCGTGACCGGAGGCAGTTTTCGCGTCCATCTCCCGGTGATTTGCATTCCAGGAGTTGATGGCGGAGGAACGAGAAAGTGCCCAATGTGGAGAATGACACTGAAGGAGGTCACACTAGACGTACTTGTGCGGAGGGAATTGGTCATAGTGGATGACTAATTTTCCTCACCACCCTGCCCTCTTTCGCATATGCTACGCTTTGGTGACGGAGTAGGAGTCATGCAACGGATTGCGGTACCAAAAAAAGCATCACCCTAGCTGCTCCCCTTCGTATTATTGAACATGGTAACTAGGAAAGACGTCTGGTCTTTTCGAACATGGTAGCTAGGATGGAATGATGGGAGTGTCTCGAGTAACTGGCATGGCAAAGGCTCGACCACGTAGGCCACAAATTGAGAACTACAAGTCATTTCCTTGAAAACAACGATCCAGTCGAAACGTCGACCTCAATAAACGCAGTTCGATTCTACCAAACCCGTGTGGCGAAGTAGTTTAGGTTTGGCCTAGGGCTTGAAAAACATTTGAGGTATTCGTCCCTCTAAAGGGCACCTTTGATGCTCTCAACGGGACTTCTGGCTCACTTCTGGAATAACTTTCCAGTGCAGCGAAAAGCACCTTAAGGACCCTTGCTCAGACGTAGATTACCGTCATACAATTCCCTTTCTTGGTCAAGGGAACTGCGTCATCCATCCCACGAATGCTTCCTTCCTGGGCATATTCAAAGCAGAAATCGTTATCTTCATTATAGCGATCCCAGCCTTGCGCGAGGAATCCTTTGTGTGCCTCCACCCCTTCTTTTTAGCCGACTTTATGCACCTGAGCGTGATGAGCTCCACAGTCTTGCTCCTCGCTGCGGGTGATGGGGTGCGTCAGGGAGGGAGATGGGTTTGGCGCAGAGGTAGCCTGTTTCTTTTTCTTCTTTCGGCAAGCGACAGGACTGCATGATATCGTTGGCGTCAGTCCTTTTCACCAATTCTAGTCGCCTAGCCGCTTCAGCAACAGGTGGAGAACGGGGTGGCGGCGCACCAAACCCAGCCCCTTGACACGCCCCGGCATCCGCAGCAAACAAGGCTGTAATTAGCATTGGAATCGATCGTTTTTCGAGGTCAGACTGGTTGCTCAACATTTATCACATTTAGATATTTTCAAGCGTAATAATTAAATGATTGACCAGCTGAAATGGTGAAAGAAATAAGGATTAAAATGAAAGACGACCTTATGTCTTTTAAAATCTTGATGTTAATCTGGATCTTATGATGGGATAATGAGAGCCGTTAGTGAATTCAATCGAAGAAACTAACTTCAGTACATACATGGATACAGTATGGAAATCGATGCAGTATTGTAATTACAGTATACAACAATCCAATCGATTCATATAAATTGCGAAGAAATACGTGGCTCTTTCTCCAAGGAGAAAGAGCTAAAGTTTTCTGTTCCCAGAAAGATTGCGAAAATGTTCGATAAAGAAGGTGAAGGACGAAGTTTCCACGAATTTGACAGTTTCGGCAGTGATACACACAATGCGTATCTGTGACTGACCCACATACTCTTCGCGAATGGATCGATCGACAATTAAAAGCGAAATTCCGGTGGTCCGAAACTGTCACTCGGATTCGAGGACGACGAAGATGCCCTTCAACGGGGTTTGCCGTAGTTGAGAACACCTCAGCCAGTGAGGGCTACTCATAACAGCCTTGACTGGCACATAACCCAGTGGCCAGGTGGTATTCTTAAATTACGAGGTCAATGACTTGTTTATTTTCCCACTAATACAACCGCAAAAGGTAGGTCAATATAGCCGTCACGGTGACCGATTCTATAGCAATAAAGTCCTGTTCGATGCGTATGATGGGGCGTGTCAGTGAGGCTGAGTTTGATGCCGCCAGCCTGTTTTCTACCAGTTTTGAAGCGGGCAAGCGAGCACTTGGTGGGAATGGCTGATAGGAACGATAAGATATAGTCTAGCCGTTTGCCGAAAGAAAAAAACGGAAAAAAAACGCTGCGCCAAACCTACCCCTTGCCATGCCCCATCATCGCAGTGAACAGGACTGTCCAGTTGTCCAGCAGAGAATCAATGGAGCCTC